TCTCGAGGCTTCTCAAGCAAGGAAGGGCTACTGATACAGGTTATCTCACCGCTGTGGTTGCAACCTGCCCACGCGTCTTTTCAGGGGGAGGATGCCCAGAAGGTTTTGGTTGAGACCCTGTTTATGGTTCAACGGCCCCTTGGCTTGGCACGCTCACGGCAAACGCCGTCCCTTGGTCCAGAAACCAAGAATGGCAGAAGCCCCCGCTACTGCTCGAATCAAGGCCTTTGCCGCTCTAGCCTGGAAACTAGGACTGTGCATTGGTTCATCGAGGTTCACCGCGCCTCATATTCCACATACATTGTACAAGAACTTGTGGCGGTGGTGCCAGCGGCGTACATTGACGATTCAAGTACCATGATCAGAGGCGCTTTTGACGTGCTGCACGTCTATCAACTATGGATCGACCTTGTCTGTTCGTCTTGTCAAACTATTACTAAAGAACGACAGGCTCAGTCACTCGGCGGCTGTTCGAGACAAGACCAGCAAGTCGACCAGATGCCTCGGCTTTGGAACATCCGACTTTCTTCGTTCAGTGATTTCCGCGAGATGACTTTGCTGCATGTCTACCAGCCGCGTCGGCGGAGATTACCGCCAGCATGCGACGAGGTGGGGAGAGAATACCTCGCCGCCTGCGCCATTCTGCTCCGTGTACAAAATGCAGAGGTGTGCACTTTCGATGGCATACGTCAGTCATGACACACATCTGTAGCGAGCCAGAAGTTCGGGACGGCATTCTCGGCAACATGCTGCATGCGTGGCTTGGAACTCTCTCGGAAACGAAATGTAGATTATACTCTTAAAGGGTGCCATTCCAGGAAGGCCCCTGTGATGATGCTTGATTGATGGCAAGTCACGCCTCCTTTCGGTCCTATAGAAATTATCTACACGAACATACCAGCTTGTTTTTGTTTTTGCTTTTACGGCCGCGGGGAAGGGGGGGCAGGAATCACGACGCTTGAAAGAACCGTCAAAGCATGTTTCTTAATTTACTCTGGACGCCCGCTGGCCCTTAGCTTCCCTCTTCAGCAGACATCATACCCTGGGACCAAGCGGCCCAGCAAAAGACTCGGTCGGTGGTAGATATATCGCGCTAGAGTCGTCTGCTGGTTCAATCGTTTGACGTATCCTGGTCTCCTTGACCACCGTCCCGCTCGCCGGCGACGCGGGCCTTGTGTGGCTGTTACCCCCGTTGAGTTCCATCTCGTCCAGCTCTGTGTATGGCATGTTGTTGTGGTTGCCCTTCTTCGTCCCCTTCCTGCCAGAGCCGTAGCCCAGTTCGTACGAGTTGTTTCCAGTCGCTGTTTCTTTCGGAAACAGGTGTCTCCAAATCGGTCGCAGTGTCGGCAGGCATGCGCACACGACCGCCATGGACAGTTCAATATTGGTCCAGAAGAACACGGGTGCGGTGTAGTCTATCTCTACCGTCAGCATGAATCACACACAAGTCTCCGCGTAGTATATTGCGGGAGTGCTGCGTCTTACAAATGATGTCGTTGGGGTAATGAACGTATTGTTTGGCAATTGCATATACAGCAATGACGCGAGTGACGCTGACCGCACAGACACTGAACTTCCGTTAGTCAGACTGCTCTTCATTGCTTCCAATATCGGGAGCTGTGGAGGCCGCCAACTCACGCAGCGCCGAGGCTCAACATGCCGAGGACGGCAATCTTCCTCCGCAACTTGAGCTGGATGCTCATGACCATGGGAATGGGCAGGACGAGAATGGCAAAGTCGGCCACGACGTTTGTGTACAGGACTGTTAGGAACATGGCCACCTGGTTGACGCATTTCTTATCTTGGAAAAAGTCGATAAAAGCAGTAATCGGGTAGCAGGTGAAGAGGTGCGAGAAGAAGAAGCTTATGGTCCAGACGATCACGTAGCCGAGCACGCCGTACACGACCCATTGGAACTTGCGGTTCGGAAAGAGACTCAGGTAGAGAACGAGAATGGATGACTTGACGAGACCAAGGCCGACAATGGAGAGCATGTTCAAGGCGAATTTCGACTATTCGCATAGCCATGTTAGCCATGTCTAACGCGACGCAGGCGTGCGACAACAGAGATCAATATTGTGATTGACGAGGCCGGACTCGACTGACCTTCTCGAAGAACGCCAGACCTGGATCTTCCATGATGGCCGTCCCATCAGGATGTTGTGGCTGGTGCTGGCCCAGGTGTCCATGAAATGTTGCTAGATAGGTAATAATCAGCATCTCGTCCAGCTAGATAGCTAGTGTCTAACCCGTTTGCGGGAAATTGCAGAATTTCAAATTCTTACCGGCTAGTTGCAAAGAACAGCAGACGATGGAAAGGATCTAGTAATGTGGCGTTAGATGAGAAATCGGAGTTGGTCATACGCATGGTCCAACAACCTAACTTACCATTGCGGCGCCAGCCAAGTAGTCGTCCAAAGTGATGCGTTTGATAATCAATCTAGCCCAGATTCGAAGACCATAAAATATGATGGGAAGGAACATGAAACCAACAGCCAGCCCGATCATCTGGTTCTTGGTGTATTCATGGGTCATGACCACCATCTTGGCTGGCGATGTTGGGATGAGGAGATGGTGGCATCTAACGTCTCTTTGGAAATGTGACCAGAATCAATGGATGAACTGTGATGGCTTAATATGTACATGCGGCGATGGGGGACTAAATGTAGAATTATACCTGGACGTGGCTTCGCATGGGGAAACGCTGTGAAATATGACTGATGACTCGAGGAATCGCCAGAGATCCAGAATGATGCGAATGGGAGGCTTTCGCCAACAAGGTTACTGTGCTCTGCTTGGCGACCGTTGCAATTCCCGGCAATGGCACCCACGCATCTGCGGACGAAACTGTCTTCCTGCATGGCCGCGTTGTATCTCCTGCATCCCCTTACGCTGGCTGCCTGCGGCAAGTACCTTCATAGGCAAACTGTAACGTTCGAGCCCACACAGCCTAAACCTTGCGTATCAACCTTTCCAAGGATCATGACTGATGCTCCTAGTGATGTCGAAGGGTATCCTAGTAAGAACCCGGTGCCCGCGTGCGGGCCAGCCGCGGCGGGGACTTCATCGTTCGACAGGGGTTATGCGAGTTACGATAAGATTCATTCTGCGGGTAAGGGGAAGGAGTCAGGGTTCTGACTCGTTAGCTGGGCTATATGTCCCGATATGAAATACACCTCGGTCTTCGTGTCAGGCGACTGGTCATGCCCCGGTTGATTTCATGCGCAGCCCGACGCTCTTTATCAGAAGACGCACGACGAGCTTTGACTTTTGATTCGGTTCTGCTAACGACATGGAAAGAGAAAGTTCAAATGTCGGATACTGTCGCCATCGGAACTCTGCTGATTTCCTAACAGCCATCTCCTGGCGAGTTTGATTTTTCCCAATCTCACCAGAGCCTCAGAGCAGGATAACGAGAGATATGAGGCAGTGTTTGGTAGGGGGAGGGGGCTCTGGTCAACAGGAAAGGTTCGTGTGAGCGATATTTCACTATTCTCTGTAGTCGCCCGGCTGCATACGCAACCGGCAGTTCATACTGCCTTTGTCATCAAAGTCGCATTGGGCCGCTTGAGGTGTGCTCTGGTTCTCGCCATTGCCGAGATCAACTGCTTGGGCTGGGATCGTAGTTTGACTAAAAATACCGTGCTGCAGGGATGACTGCCGAAAACTTGGCACCTGAAGTGTGAACAGATGCGACTTCGAAGCCATCTCCTCTTTGCAAAGCACGGATTCTCGTTGTGAGAGATCCATATGACCCCGGTGCCATCTGATTCATCTTACCGGTTCTATGTTAGCCGATTCTGATCTTGTACGGTAGCAACTTTGATAACCTATGTTAGGGTGACCGTATGTCGCGAACGTGCGACTACTATTAGCGTATGCCTGGGTTGATGTAGTATGTTGATGACGACTTGTTTAATAATTGCGCGTCTCACTACTAGCTCACAACCCTCCGAGACCTTAGCCGTTCTGCATCAGGATCAATCGACAATGTAGCTTCCGCCGTTGATTCCAGTAACGGCAGGCGTGGCAGGCCTCTCGAGCCCCCGGGCTTCTAGTGTGTACTAGGTCTTGCCCTGATGCTGCCTCTTACACAGCTGACGAGGCTTTGTCCAAGGAAATGTGGCTTGGCTGAAGTGACCATCCTGAAGTCCGATTATCCCTGGCAGATTTGTGTTTGAGAAATCCTCGCCAGTAGTTTCGAGCCCCCCTCCACGAACCTGGATGAAAGCATGAACACATTTCCTGAGTATCTGCAATCTCTCATCACCCACTGCAAAGGTTTTGACTAGTTTCGACACCATGATACCCAGTTGCCCCTTTTTTTCTTTGACTGAAAAGAGGTCGAATGTCGAGACGTCATTGACCAAGCCTTGTCTCATGAAGTTGTCTCATCAGGTTCCTCTACGGTGACCGGTTCCTCTAGCAAGCCTCTCGGCTACACGTGTTTGATACATGCAGCAGACGATAGTCCAAGATTCTGCAAGTACATAGCTCAGAAGAGTATCGTTTCAGTTGACAATTTACGCCTGTTGACCCAAATGAAAGCGATGTTCTGTATCGGAAGCTACAACGTGGATTAAGGCTCTCTACTACCCACAATTGAGTGGCTTGAAAGTCGAAAGAAAATGCGCGTTCTCTATGAATGACTATCCTCAACCAAGGACAGAAAAGGTAGCCTGACTACGTTGAACATGACCCACCACGACTGCCAGAGCAGCTCGAACAAGTGACTGGCTTGCAAGATCAAGGTCAAAGTCCCGTGCGTTCTTCAACCCCACGGCTTGAACTCGGGGGCCAGGAAGCCGGGGCAATACGTCTCCCAGCAGAAGTATTGCGACTCGTTGATGTACCACGCAAAGTTCCAGTCGCTTCCGTCCTTGTCGCGGACCGCCATCTCGGCTGCGCCCCAATTCTTGGCCGACAGCGTCTTGCGCAGGTTGTCCGGCATTCTTTCCCACTCGATGAGGCCGGCGCCGACGCCCCAGCGCCAGCTCTTCCAGTGGTTCTCGGGCGGCTCGTCTCCGCCGTTGGCCCAGCGGAAGGCGTGGGTCAGCGCGCCGTCCTTGTGGTACACAACCTTGGGGTGGGTGCCGTGCTCGAACCGCGGGGCGGCGGTGCGGCCGTCGAGGATGCGAATGTCCCACTTGCCATGCTGCGAGATGCTGACGAACTTGAGCTGGCCGTGCTGCACCCAGACCGCAATGTGCTCCCAGTCGTGCCGGTGGGCGCCCCAGCCAAAGTCGGCCTCGAAGTAGTAGTCGTACATGTGCACGCACCAGCCGTTGTTGCAGCGCGAGCGCACGTAAATATTGGTCTGTTGCAGGCGGACCTCCTTGCGGCACCAGCCAAGGATCTCGCCGGCCGACTTGGTCTCATCCTGTCCGGCGTTGAGCTGGCCGGAGGGCGAGATGGCGACCGTGTTGTAGCACGAGTCCGTATCGTAGTCGAGGGCCGGGCACCACTTTTCCTGCTCAGACCAGGCCGAGCCGCCGAGGGGCTGGAGGAGATCGCGGCGGATGAGCTTCGTGGTAGGCGTGTCTGGCAGAGGAGTTGCGATGACTGCCGGCAACAGGAGCAGAGCCGCCACAGCGGAGAAGGAGGCCGTTCTAAGAGAAGGCATATTGTAAAAGATGCGTTCTCCAAATTTGGCTATTCTGTGACGTGTGGGAATGTTTCTGTTCTCATCGCATCAAGGAGGGCAGCTGGCATGCTATTTTATATCCATGGGACACCAAGCGACGATGCTTTCGACGGCCCACGTTTTACGAGCAGCAGACGTTGATTGGAGTGAGAATGGAAATGAACAGTTGAGCTTCATCTACACTTTGTGCGGGCTACGCCTTCGCTGACTGCAGGGCCTTGAAGCTATGGGTGAATTAAATGAGAAGCTGCCATCGTGAAGAGCACACGGCTGCATTGGCTAGATGATTCTATCAAACCTTTCCCCAAGCTTGATTGGGTTCTTCTTACGAGGTGGTGCGTGATTGGGCAGACGATGTCGTGCATGGTATACTCATGGCCATGAAGACTCGGTGGACCCAACCCCTGGTGTTCAGCTGCTGACACTGCGTCCGCAAGGGCCAGCAAGAGCCTTCGCAAGCGCGGCCGCGTGTCACCATGGGTTTCTAGCTGCAGGCGTGGAAATTTCCATCGTCTGAATTGCTGGATATGTTAAAGTGCATGTTTTGCAGAATTGTGGCGCAAAATCCGAGTCTCGTGGTGCCAAACCATCAGAATAAGCGGCCGCATGGCCCGCACGCCGCCGCCCTACCGAGATGACTGAAGGTTCGTAGACAAGGGGACGGCTGGGGTGATCTAGGGTGCTGAAAGCGAGCAAGAATCTCTCAAAAAGGATGTATTTGCTGGAAATTCGGGGATGCACGCACTAAATTCCCTCATCCCATTAAGCGGATCCGTGGTGAAAACAGTCCCTCCCTTCAATCGAGATGATGCTTGCCATGGTGGGAATGTCGTAAGTCAACGAGAGCTGCTCTTACTCAATAGCCTTGCATTCTCTTTATGTCGATGGTGCTGGTACGTTTTCCTCGTAGCGTGATGCGTCACAGAAACGTGGACGGTTGGCTTCGGATAGGTACCGACCTCGTCACCCATCGTGGTCACATTCGGTCTTCGATGGGCGACTCTCTGGTCCAACTACTGTATCATCACCAGGGAAAAATTGTGCGGTGTCATGATCCAGCGGTAAGAAGCAAAACGACCGCACCATGAAAGTCCGAGATGCTCTTGCAGCTCTCGTTCGGCATATCTAGAGGAGAGGGGCGATCTCTGGATATCTTCAAGCCTACGATTGATGACCTTGACTCTATCGGATGAACTATTGAGCTGCAAATTAAATCAACAGCCAATTACCCAGGCTATTCACCAAGCACTACTGCTTAAAAAGTAGCACCACCGCTTCAAAGTCCATATAGCCTCCGTGTTAGTCCCTTACGTATCTCATCAAGGCCAGACACAGTTGCCATGAACGGAAATGCGGCTCTCCCGCGGAGACCTGCGAAGACTCACGGGCTGTCTGTCGATGCTATTTCGACTGCGAACATCGATGGAATCACCACCTGGGCACCGCCTTGCAAGACACTTCAAGCCCAGAGAACTCCGAGAGTGAACTACCGCCATCACCAGTCAAACGCCTCCGACTTGCCGAGTCTGGAAATGAAGGGTATCCTTGGTTACGGCTTTGCAGCTTTGCCGCCGCATGGCAGGAGATCCCGGCTATACATCGCATGACCGAGATCATGGCCCAGGTGCAACTGCACAGATCTTCGCGTCCGATGAACAGAGGTCGTCTCAGAACCTGATCTAGAATCTGCCGGATCGGTCGTTCCTATTGCCAGCTGATCCGACGGAGGCCGCAAGTTCATTTGGGTTCCGGTCGAGACATATTTGACACGAGAAGCAAGAGCGGAGAGCGAATGAGAAAACATGTGAAGAAGCCGTCCATGGTGCTCAGCCAGGATGAACAGAATCAAGCGGCAGCCGTGCTCCGCTTCCCCGGAACTTCCCTGGTGCGTCACCTTGCGCTTCCATGAATGCACGACAAAGAAAAGCCTGGCCGGCCAACGAAGGTGCCACATACTATAACCTGCTCCGCGTCGTGTCCAGACGTTTCTGCGTGAGATTAGGGGGCTGCGAGCATTCAAGCTTATCGGAAGTAAGCTTGCCGGCCACGGCCTCGACATGGACGCGGAGCTGCGCCACGGCAGTGTTGCCGTGGGTGCCCTGCCACATCAATGCCGAGTGCTACAGTGGCCTCCTCTTTTTTTCTTTATTCGCCCCGTCGTATCGAACCCAGACTCGGTCACTGCAGTGGTGCCAATGAGTAAGTACGTGCACGATGTGACCTCGAAATGATACACAGAGCTGCAGATCTCCGGTCATTCATGCAGACCTACCGCCGGACACGACGAGGGGACAGGTACAATGGTGGAAGCGGCATCTGCTGCGGGTTGCATGCAGCGTGGGCTCCGTCACCGTGCTGGCCCGCCCTGTTTTCGCCAGACCGTCGAGTCATACTGATCCTCGGAGCTGCGACGTGACTGTCGAGGCCGGCGCAAGGACCATCTCGATCAGGTCCTACGAGCGTACTTCCTATTCCGGCAGAGGAGATGGCTCCTCGACAGCCGATGGCAGCAGCACGCCTGCACAGAGGGCCGAGCGCCACGGGGCCAAGGCTACCGATCGGTGTCGAAGGCGTTGTCGCGAAGCTGATGGCGAGACTCTCGACGCCAAGTCGGTCCTCGGTCGGTCTATTGCTCAGAATCACTGGGATTCTACCTGGCATCAGATCGCCGGCCATGCAAGCGAAATCTTTCCTCAACCCAGTCACGAACATGGCGCGGTCGGAATCGATGACAAGTCATAAAATCCATTACAATCCAGATAGGCCGAACCAAGGGTATACACGCAGTAAAATCCACACCACACATCGACAGGACATTGCGCAAACACTACGCCAGGTCGTCAGCGTCCTCCCACCGTTTCGTCGGCAGTCGCCTGATTTTCTTGGGGCTGCCGCCGCTGGCGACGCTCGAGACGCTGGCGTTGCTAACGCGAAGCTGCTCCATCTTGCGACCCAGGCTTCCGGTGCCGCCGTCGGGCTTGCGGCTGCCAAAGTCGTCCCGCTCGTGGAGAGGCTGCCTCCGCGTCGGACTCCGGCCAGCAAGCTCACGCTTGAGCACTCCCATCTCGCGGCGAAGACGCTCGTTCTCCTGCGCCAGGTTCTCGACGAGAACGTTCTCCTTGTCTTCGCCGCCTTCCTCGTCGTCATCGTCATGGGGTCCAAGACCGCGCTCAAAAAGTTCCATCTTGCGATCCCAGTGCTCTTCGCCGCGCTCCTGCTGGGCCTGCATCGTGGCCTTCCAACGTGCCACCTCGAGGTCATACCGTGATTCGTACTCGGCGGCGCAGTCCTCGCGGATGGTTTGCTCAAGCTCGAGCATGCGGTCTTCCATGCTGAGCAAGTGTGCCTCGGCGGCGACGCGCGCATCGCGCTCGACGTCGAGTTCCTGGTGCAGGCTGTTGATCTCTTCCTGCATGCGGGCGATTTCGAGAGCGGCGTGCTCCATGATGAACCTGTCGCCATCCGTCGGGCTGCTGGGGGAGATGTTGCGGTGAGAGCCGGACGGTTGAGAGAAGTAGGACCGCTGAGAGGATGCAGAGTTGACGGACAACAGAGTTTCAGAGTGTGCGTTTGCCGTCGGCATGTCTGCGAGGATCGTGGATGTGATGCTAGGGATGCGAGGTATCGTGACCTCGCGAGCGAGCGCGCTGTAGCGAAGGATCTGGGAGGTTGCGTTCACGTCGCCGTGGGCGTCAGCGGTGACGATCATGACGCCTCGTTGCGCGTTTCGACGGGGGACGACGGGGGCAGTGTACGAAGACGATGTTGTTGAGAAGGAGTTGCTGAACAGGAGTTCGGTCATCTTGCACTGGCGGAATGGCATGACGCTCGGCTGTGGGGAGAGATGGGGTCAGTCTTTTCGTTCGCCGGCCTGCCGATGTCGGCAGCGACAACAGCGACAGGTCATGCACGTACCTTGCTTGTGTTCCCCAGCCCGCTCTGCGCCTGGAGGCACTGCCCCAGGTACATGAGACTCTCGTTGATCTTGCCTGCCTTCGGCGAGCGTGCTGCCTTGGGTCTTTGCATCGCGCGCACGCTCCGCTGCCGGCCAGATCGACGACTGTCAGCGTGCTGCCGGTCCAGGTGGACGATCTCTGTCCCCTGGTGCGTTTCCGCACTTCGACGCAGAAGAAGCCGTGGCTTCGTGACGACACGCTGTTGCTGCCGGTGCCAGCCACCTGTCGCTCGTGCAGGCCGGCCTCGAGCACGAGAATGGCCTCGCGCAGGCTCTTGCACACAATCTTCTTGAGCCCGGCGACAACCTTCCTGTCGGCGCTTTGCTCTGTAGATTTGAAGAGCAACGGGCGTCGGCGGTATTCCTTGGTGGCGTTGGATCGAATGGGAGGGGTCAGGAGGTCGTAGATCTTGTCGTTGTACACTTCGTACATGGAGAGAACGACGGCGTACTCGGCGTTGGGATCGGAGGAGACATGGACGGTGCTGACGTCGGGGATCTGCGGCACGGCAGATGGGCGTTGTAGATGTCTTCGAGGGGTCTGCTGCGGGGGGTATTCGCCCTTGATTGGAGTTTTCGTCAGATTCTTCTTCGTCTTGGAGGCTGTGGTCCAGGTCATGTAGTGCTTCTGGGGGCTGAGTGTGTGCTGCGTGGGCAGGTGTTTCTGGGGGCTGGGGGGGAGATGCATGGGTGTTGAGGAGGATGTGGGCAGAACTCGGCCTTGCGCGTTCGGGGTCGGGGGCACGACGCGAACGGTCGGGGGCCCAGGGCCGGACGGGACACGGCGAGGTGCGGTGTGCGGACGAGGGGTGTCAAAGAAAGCAGGAGAGGCGGCAAGGAAAGCAGGAGGGGCGTCAAAGAAAGCAGGAGGGGGCCCTACAAGCATAGGCGTCGGCGCGCGCGAGCCGGCGCGCGCGGGACCAGCAAAGTCGGCATAGACGGTCTCGAGGAAGGTGGGTGCCGAAACGATGGTGGCATCAGAGGGGTCTGACAGTTGCAGGGACGAGTCGAGATCAGGCGACGAGGCGTTGTCGAGCATGTTGAAGCCGATGGCCCGAAAGATGACGTCGAGCGACAGCTGCGTCAGGCCGCGCTGGGACCGCGAGCCCAGAATGGTGTGCGACTTGCCCGAGCCGGTGACGCCGAGGGTCGCGAGCAGCGCATCGGTGCCCACGCCGCCGTGAGGCGCCAGGACGCCCTCGATCAAGGGCGCGACGCCGGTGCACTGGAAGACGTCGAGCTGGGTGGCATCTTCTTCGAAGACTTGGGTGAAGGCGAACTTCTCGGTGGAGCGTTTGCGGTCGTTGGGCGGGTTCAGGATGATGTGCGTCGGGTGTTCGGACGTGTCCTCGCGCTCGACAGAGAGGAACTTGTCTGAGGCGGTCGAGCCGGCTGGTGAGGGCCGCAGGCGCAAGTAGACCTGGAAGAGGTTGGATGGCGGTTTCGTCGGTGCACTGTCCATGGTGGGTGCGATGTGTATTCCTCGTCGTCCCTCTTGGTCTGTCGAGACGCGTTGTGCGAAGGAAGAGAGCAGACGAAAGAGGAGAGTAAACGAAAGAGGAGAGACGGTTCTGTTTCCTCGAGCAGAAGGCGGTCGAGTGGGGAGACGTTGACGACAAACCAGGAAGGCGGGACTTGGGATGGCGGGACTTGGAAGGCGCTCACTGCCGTTGTTTCCTCGCGCATGCCACTGTCCAACGCGTGTTTACCTCGAGCTGCCAGCAGCTTCATGTGGGGCGAGGGGCTCACAAGGTCGTCGGGGCAACGGGGCTCCGTGGGTCCACCGTAACATAGGTAGACCTAGCTAGGTACCTAGGGAGGTGCTGCACCTCTTCGTCTCCACAGCTGAATGTGTACTTCGTTCACGGTGAGCACTTTCGCAGGACAAAAAAAGTATTGTTCAAGCAGGTAAATACACCCCATGCTGCATGCTTCAATTCAATTCGATAGTTGGCTGTCAACAACGGCTTGATTCGGCACCCACGATGGAAGACCAAAAAGAAATCGCTCAGAAGCGAGAATCGGCCGACCTACGCAGGACTCGAACCTACAACCTTAAGCACCGGAAGCTTACGCGCTACCATTGCGCCAGCAGGCCAATTGTGTATACTTGGTTCACTGGAAAGACTGATGACCCTATCATCAGTCGAATGTTCAATCATCCGTCACGCTCCCCACTCCATGAAGTGATACCAGCTCGTACACAGCGAGATGTGTATGACGGTAGCCACCGTCGCTCGTCTGGAGTCATGACCACAGTTAAAATTGCCAAAGATGACCGACATGCAGCGTGCTGCTGGTCTGACAACAGGCCCAATCGCCCAGACCGGTGTCGGCATCTATGCTTGCGCGAAAGAGTCAGGAGCGGAACCCAGTCGCCTCTCGCACACTGCGTGCCCGAGGTATTGGAAATGCCCCAGTGGAGCTGAGGCGCTGCGGCAGACCAACGTCAAGGTCTCCGTTGAGGGTCAGGAAGCGCTCAGAGGAGACGGCCGCTTTCTGACGCCTGATCTGCTCGATGTACACGGGCCATGGTGTGGACAGCCGACAGTTGGTCGAAACGGGAACGAACGCTGATCGGTTGGTCTTCACATACCGGCGGCTGGTCAGGCCGGTTATGACGATGTCACCGACGGATTTACAAGTGCACCGTGAGAATAACATCTTCACATCGCCTTAGATTCCTGCAAATAGCTAAGTCTACATACCGTCCCTGATCATCGCATTGATAAGCCTCACATGTCGATCAGCGTTCGTCGTGCTCCACTCGTTGTCGTAGTTCAACCCATACGGCCAAATGTGCGAGCCGCCGCAGTTGATCACGGCACTCGCGCCGTCCCACGAGCGAAGCAGCGGCAGAGCCGTCGCCCAGTCGCCGGCCGCGCACTTCCTGTCGAACGCCGCCGTCTGCCCGATGCCGAGGGTGTGCGAGATCTCGTGGAGCGCCGTGCGCTCGTTCATGTACGCCCTGTTGGTGCCGAAGCGCACGTCGCCGTTGAAGTTGGCCTCGGCCGTCGGCACGCCGGGCGTGTAGTAGACGCGGAGCGTCTTGGTGGCCGTGCCGAGCCTCGAGTGCCGAGCGACGGCGAGCCGCATGGCCGCCTCGATCTTGGCGTACGCGTCGGCTTGATCGGTCGTGGGGTTGGCGGCCTTCTGGAGCGACCAGCTGATGGCCCCGGAAACGACGGAGGCGTACGCCGCCGCCATGGTGATGAGAGACAGCTTCATGTTGATGCGCAGCGTGGAATCAAGTCAGAAGATGTGTTGAAATGGAAGAAGAGGCCGCGAGGGACAAGCTGATCTGTGCCACCCGCAAAGGCAACAACAAAGAGAGTGAACACTACTATACTTATACAAGAGTGCCCATATCGTGAGGTCTGCGTGACGCTTTGGAGATCATCAAACATCCGTAGTCACCTTCCATTTACGATCTCGCTGCCGAATTGCCCATATACGCGCCAATCGCCATGGCTGAATATATCTAGGATCGGACTCTGCAATGCCGATCTGCGGAGCGTTCGTCCTCGTTCGGCCGGCAGTGAACATTGACACGATACCGGATGGATCGAGGGACCAGTGACAGCTCAGAATCCCATAGGCCAGGGTATTGCGAGTGATGCCTCACGTGTTCGGAAATATTGACATGATGCGACGTCGGCACTGATTGCGGACGCTTGGCCCGGACCTAACAGCAGGCGTGTCATCTACATCAAACACACTTCCGCAGAAGCCGGTTGCACTGCAATTGCCAATGCGGGGAACTGGCATATTGCCGGGCGCATTCACACCGACTGCGATTGTAAAGTCAATTAAGGGTTGCTCCTATCGCTGACCACATACGCAAAAAGCCGAATTGGGGCCATGAATGACACTGACTTGGTTCGTGGACACCATATGGGTAAAATTGTTCAAATAAATTGGCCATGAGATGAATGACCAAAGTGCTACTCGGCCGATACACAACCCTGTCGTGGGAAACACGAAGCCCTCTCCAGACGACCTAGAGGGGTGTTCTCACTGAACGCAGATAAATAAGGCACTACGGGAGAGACGTCGTCCTCTCAACCGTGACTAGGCTTCTCCTGCGTCACAGCGGGCTCATTCCACGCCCCGTCGCTGTCCGTCCGCCGCCCTTCTATACTGTTGCCCTCTTCAATGCCACCCGAAGAGAGCATGACGGTCTCGCCGATGAAGACCTGAGGTGCAACGGCGTACTTGCCCTCGCCGGCCTCGAGCCTTCGCGCGGGAACGAGGCAGTTGAAGAACCGTGGGAATATGAACAGGCCGACGATAAAGACCATGACCATGTGGAAGAGGATGAAAGAGTATAGGTAGGCCGGGTCCTGAGCGAACTTTTCGTCGCGGAACTTGGAGTACGCGAAGGAGAACACAAGACCCACAGCGGGTGCGGTCAGGTATTTCAGAATAACGGGCCAGGCCCAGTGAAGGCGCCAGTTCTTGCCGGTAAGGATGGAGGCGTTGATGTCGCGACGAAGCTGATTGCCCTGTTACGACCGTGATTAGCCAGGAGCGCCTAAAAAGGTGGCTGAATAGAAGAACCGCAGGATGTTGATCACTTACCGAATAGAATGCAGAGTACCAGAAACGGCTCAGAACGGTACTACGCCCCCAAAAACTAGGGGCCGCCACCGTAGGTGTCTTGCCGAAGAAGGCAGATGAGACAGCACCGGCAATGAAGATGCCGAATGCCACGCCGGCACCGGCTGGGGGGCTGACAAGATGACCAACAAGGATGCCGATAAAGTGGGCCAGGAAGTAGCCGCCGTTGAAGAGACAGTAGCTGACGTATCCGACCTGGTCCACGGGATCCCTCCAGCGGTACAGAGTGGTGGCGAAGAAGGATTCAAACCAGACGGTGAAGAAGAGAGCCAGGTCGTTGACAAATGTATCTATGCCGTCCAGGAAGTAAAATCCAAACTCGCTGCAGTAAATCAACGAGATGAGGAATGACATGATGGCAACGGCAGTGGCCACGACCCAACGAGGTACTCGCTTACCCCAGTCAGTGTCGCAGATCATGGTGACAAGGACTTCGAATAGTGCAAATGCGGAAGTCAGACCGAGAAGGAAGAGAGTCATGAAGAAGACAACCGAGAAGAAGTTTGCACCCGGCATCTGGGCAAGGGCTTCCGGATAGGTGAAGAAACCAGAACTGAAGGTGCCGAGTCGGTTGGTAGGGTCGGGCTCGATTTGCAAGAATCCGATGATGCCCATGACGGCTAGAGCGGCAATGATCTCGATTGCCGAGTTGCTCAGAGCAATGATGAAAGCGTCCTGCACGGCGTTGGAGTATTTGGAGCTGTAAGATGCGTACGAGGTAAAGTAGCCGAACCCGACACCAATGGAGAAGAACATCTGACCAAAAGCGTCTTGCCAGACACCAGGCCCCTGGAGAGACTCGGTCCGCCAGACGCCAAGGTAGAGTCGGTAGCCTTCGGACGCGTTCGGGAGCGACAAGGATCGAACAGCCAAAATCAAGATCATGATCAACGGCATGGCCATGGTGAAATAGATGACGCGTCCGGTCAGTCCGACGCCCTTGAACATGCACATCCAGACAATGAACCAGGTGAAGAAGGTCCATCCGGCAGTCTCCCCTACGATGCCGGTGCCAGGATAAAAGAGCATGTCTCCTTCATCTTTATCGCCGACGGGTGCTTGGTTGCGCACAACATCGTCGTAGAAGAAGTCCTGGGTGTTCTGACCAGCCCAAGGCAGGGGGCTGGTGAAAGAACGCCGGAAATATGACATGGCCCAGGCTAGGATGGGGACATAATAACCGACAACAGAATAACCGTTGAAGACCATGGCAAACCCAACGCCCTTGGCCCGGTGGTTGAGGTTGTTCCACGCGGTCACGCAGCCGGCTCGATAGGCCTGGCCCATGACAATCTCGAGTGTGAGGATGGGAATACCGATCAGGAACAAAGCTATAAAGTAAGGGATGAAGAACTGCAGCCCGTAGTTGTTGTAGATGACGGAGGGGAATCGAAGGAGGTTTCCGAGGCCGACGGCACCACCCATGGCGCAGAGAATGAACTGCGCACGGGAGTTGAAGTTGTCACGGCCGTCTTCGTCTTTCTTAGCGTCTGGGGCAATAAAGAGGTAGATGCGTTTGCCCATGCCCATTTTGGGCCGCTCCTGCTGGGTCGCCATGCTTGCAGGCGCTTGATGGAATTGAAACAAAACAGACGAAGAACCTGAGTTGAGTTGGGTGGAGGGGGAGGCAAAGGAAGACTTGAAAGAGAAACAGAACGGAACCGATATATTAAAGGCTCCAGGAAACCAGCTATATGTATCTGAGTTCTTCTCACACCTCCTTTACAAAACCTTTCCTGTTGCTTGCAGGGCCCGGCGATGTGGGCAAGCACAAAGGAGCCCCATACATCTGAAGGTCTAGCTCGAATTATGCAGCCAACAAGAGACTCTGGGGAATTAGAGCCTTGATGATCTTACACACCTACTCTATACGGCAGGTAGTTTAGGGTTGGCCTCATATTGCGGTCAAACCAAGACGCTTGGCATATGGCCAAAAGCATGGTTCGCTATCACAGTGATGCCTCGATGTTCCTTGGCATAGTCTAATATGGTGGGAACATTGCATGGTAGGCTGAGAGTGGGCCTATAGAATGCTTCTGGTGTTTTTCTCCAGGAGCTTGGCATCAGCTTGGCAAAGGTTTGGCATGCCATGGGATAGGTCTGAGGCTGGCTTGGACAAGGTGCGATTGGACCTTGGCGGTCACGAGGGAACGCGCGGCAAATGTCAGAAAAGGCTCGGCGCCGTGCTCCCTCCCTGGCTTTCTGATAAAGCGACCGCCTCGACTCAGCTTTGGGGTTGCACACTGGCCGCATGCGGGACTGTAACGGGTATCTGCGGACTGGGCGGCTCGGCGGAGGAGTGGATCAAGCCGTCATGGGGCGTTCGGCCATTCGGGCTGCCGTTTGTGGGGGAGGCGGTATGGTTCCGGTCGGGTCACGTCGGTCAAAGTATGCTTAACGATTTGCAATGATGTTAACTCTCCAAGGTGATCCTGCTCCTTTGTTCCATTGCCACTTGTATCACTGCGAAGAAACTCAGTATTGGAGTATCACGGCCACGTGAGGTGACACACGCGTAACGAGCCTCTGTCTTTTTGTGATGGCAGTAGAGGACGTTAACAGCAGCCATTAAGAAATAACGTGGTAAGCGGATCAATCTTTATCTTCGCTCATGACGAACAAAGCACGTCAGTTCCCCGCACCTGGACAGCTGAAGCACTTAAGACCTGGGATTGAAGACTACACATTAGTCCTTGAAAACCGAGCTACGCCTAAAGAGCTGTGGCTTCGCTTGAAGCCGTGCAGTCTTCGCCACTCCCATTGATGTTTGCGAAGGGCAGCAGCTGATGAAAGGCCTGGGGCTGGCCTTGGCCTGCAGTCAAGCAGGCCACACAAGATGTCGCATTAGGCGCAGAGCGTTTACAAGGGCATGTGTATACTGTAGTTAAGAAGCTATGTGCTGCAATGTACATAATACATAGACAGGTGTGAAAGAACTCGGTAACATTGACCGGAAAGAAAACATGTATACATCAAAGACCAGCGTTTGCAGACTCTTGTCAGTTGCGCACAATGCGCGGCCTCCGGCGGCAGCCAGAACCACCTCCCTCGCGAAGCGAAATGATCTTCTTGACGGCATGCTCCGCCGCAACCATGACGATGGCCTGGGTGTTACCCGTGGACAGGTCAGGGTGGAATGAAGCATCGACGACAAACAGGTTGTCGGTGCCGTAGACTTTCGTGTTGAGGTCAAACCACGGCGCTACCGCCCTCGCGACCGTCGTCGGTGCCCATCTTGGCGCTTCCTACCATGTGAATGCCTGGCTGGACGGGCGTGTCAAGAACGGCCTGCGCTGTGACATTCTTGCCGCCTGAGAAGGAGATGGGGCTGTTGGGCTGGCGCGACAGATCGAAAAGCTCGTTGATGGCGATGGACCAGGCCTCGCGATCCGTGTCGGTGTTCGTCCAGGGCGCCTTTGTGAAGAGGGTGTTACCGACAGCGTTGATCGCGAGCTCGCCACGAGAAGTGAGGCCGTGGCTCATAAGCATCATGAACCGAATGGTGTCGTTGCTTTGCGAGTTGACGTGCGACTGGAACATGATGACGTGGCCGTCGGATGTGTTGACCTGGCGGAAGAGGTCGAGGCGCTGGAAAGACTGTGTCAGGACACCAGAGCCCGCGTTGAACAAGGCCTTGTCTTCTTCTGTAGGGTTGGCTAGCTGATCGCTGCTGTAGGTTGTCAAGCCATCGGTGACATTGAAGGTGATCTCGTAGCGAGAGTGGTCCTTGACGTCAAGGCCGACTGGCAAGTTGATCCATGCACTCTCCTCTGGGAGCGTGACGCCCGTTGTGCCAGACTTGACTGTGTTGATCTGCGCAGAGGGGCCAATGCCAGAGTTGAAGAGGACGCGCGGGGTGGACATGACGCCAGCGGCAAGAATGACGGCACCTCCAGCCTTCAGGTTGATGATCTGGCGGCCCTGCGCGTTCTCAACCTCAACACCAGTGATGGTCGAGTTGGTGCGAATGGCACGGATGACCTTGGTGTTGAGCTCGAGCTTGAAGTCGGGCTTGGCTTGGGCCAGTGGCAGGTAGGTGTGGATAGGACCGGAACGAAGGCCATTGGCGATCTAGATTGTCAGATACATATTCGTGAGGCTGAATCATGGCCCAGGATTCGTGCACTTACATTGAGAGAGGGAGGACCATACGACTGAACCTTTTCGTCAGGGTTCTGGATACCATCGGCGAAGGTCCAACCATGGCTCTTCAGGAAAGGCTCCAGCACGTTGGCCGATTCGTTGTCGTAGTACTTGCCATCACGGGAGGGAGACGTCGTGCCCGGGTTCCTTGCGTAAAGACGTGCGGCAGCAGGCGCAATATCGTCCCAGGTCCAGCCCTCTGGCCACTCATCATCAAAGTCCCAAGTTGGAGGGTGGATGAAGGCCATGCGGTTGACAGAGCCACCGCCACCAAGCACACAGCCAGCCACGGCGGCCGTGTCCGTGCAGTAACCTTCGCCGAGTGTAGCAAACGGCAGGTTGCTGAAGAGGCCGGGGACATCGTAGTAAGTCAGGCTCTGGTTCCAAGGGACGAGCCTGTTGCCGCCGGTCGAGGCTGTAGAGGCCCTGCCGCGCTCGATGAGTAGGACGGAGCGACCGGTTTCAGTGAGGCGCTGAGATGCGACGAGGCCAGCCGGACCGCCGCCGACCACAATGTAGTCATAGGTCGAGTTGGAAATGGGCACCGTGGTATTGCCGGGGTTCGGAGTCTCGCCACCACCGCCGTCCGGCGGGCCCACCGTCTCGTCGGCTAAGGCAGCCCAAGTAGCGAACTGGGACGACTGAGCAGCTGCCAGGTCAACGCCAAAGATGCCGAAGCCGCCGGAGTGGAAGGTCAGAGGCGAGGCGGGGTTGGTTGGCGCGCTGACGCTGGCGCCGGCCAAGCCGTAGCCGATATCAGCGGTGCTGGCGTCGGCTGCAAAGGTGGTGCCGTCGGTCTGGATGCATCCCTGGCAGAGGAAGGTGTAGGTGAAGGTGGTGCCATCAAAAGACGTGCCGGCGGCGATAGTCTTCAGTGCCGCATCACCGGCATATAGACCAGGGCTAGCATAGCCCGTAGAGTGACGCAGTGATGCAACGATATCATCACCGTTGGGCCAAGCAATGACCATAAGACTGTTGGCCATTCTTCCACCGAGCGACACACCACCCCATCCTGAAGCGCCTTGGACGCTGATACGGCCGATAAGGTCGGTACCAGGGGTCTCAGGTAGGGCTATGCCAAAAGTGTAGGCGCCCCGGGTGACTTGCTGGTAAATAATGCCGGTATCGGGGTCCGTAAAAGCGGCCGACTGTGCCTGGGCCCCGCTGAAGAGGCCGAGGCCGAGAGCAAGCTTTGCCAAGCTGCTGCGCGCCATGGTACGTGGTCCAAGGAATGACTGAGAGAATTGAATGAGTGACGAGCCTGGAGCCTGTTGAACTTCAGGTTACTGAAGAGCCAGTGACGGCAAAGATATTTCGCCATCGTGATTGTATATGTAGGACCTGCAAAGGCGACATTTGCCCCTGATGCCAAGGTCATTCAACCTTGCATGAGCTCGGAGTCTTCCTAATGTCCGCCATCATGGTCAAGATCCTCGTCAGATCCTCGTCTTGTACCCGAAAAACACGGAGGAGCACCCTTTTGGCATAATCAAACGTCCTTCGATTGGCTATCGCGATGATACCCATCGCATTTCCAACCGAGTCTGGGGAAACAAGCTTGGCATGCCAATGGGCGCACGATGCGAATCCGAGGACATGTGTCTTACGACCCTGAAGCACTGCATCCCTGGTTGTTGCGCGGACGACACTGCGAATTTGGTTCGTGGCGTTGCTTGCTGCATAGCGTACCTTATTCGGACACGCTGCAACATGCACCTCATACTACTTGACTCACCAGATAAAGACGGGATCCCCGCGCCCTACTGAACTTAAATCTTTAATGTAACGGGTGGAGTGTAACGGTTAAATGAACAGGGACCCCTGCAGCCTTCGCAGCAATAGGTCCATGCCAAGGCCGTAGCCCTAGTCATGTTGCTCACGCCACCTGAGACAATCAGGCCGTGGCGGCCGTGTACTGTAATGTTACGTGGGGAGTCCACAACAGTCAAGTCGATGAAAAGGTTGTCGAGGTCGTAGCAATTGGTGGTGGCATTCACTTCGAGCCAAGTAGCCCGCGGGCCCAGTGTATCCCAAAGCTGATAGAATGTAATGACCTGCCATATGGCCTGGCCTACCTGCTTTTTGCCACGCCTGACCTGTAGACATTTGCCTAATATTTCGAACACAATGAACAGAACGGTCACGTGCTCCCAGAATCAGCAGAGCTCGGTGAACATCGTCCGGTGACTTTCTATCCCATTCACGACTAGTTTTTCACGGCAAGGTACATAGGTACTCACAGAACAGTAGCCACTGACCAAAGCGACTAATATTCACATAATTGGGGGGAGTAACTTATAGAGGTCTACCTACGCCTCCTTGTAGAAGAGGGCATCTTGCTTTAACATATTAAATTAAGGGTTTTAGCTACGGGATCACCACCTGTCCCCGCGACCACGATTACATCATGTTCACTTGTCTCTTTAAGTCTCTGTGAGTTTCTGGTAATCCAATCGTTGTTTCAAGGGTATTTCAACTTTCCACTTAGTCATCGCCGAGCCCTCGACAACCACATGACGTTTCCTGGGGCAAGCTTCCTTCCAGTCAGTACCTACCTAAGGTACTTATTGTACCTGGGCAACGGGAGCGTATCCCGTCCCACACTTTCCGTCCTACGGCATCCTTTCCGATGAACAACTTCTCATGGTATATGACTTTCGCTGCAGAGCCCCATGACGGCACAATCTTATCGTTAGTCCGTCTTATCCCGCCTTTGAATATTTGTATTCCCGTGCTAGCTAGAGGCATATCGAAACGGCCTCGTTGATCCGTATGTATCAACGGATTGGGTACCGATGCATCGGCATCTGATGACGATGATCCTGTTAATGGGGCGGGATATCCCCCCTTCAACAGGCTCGACTTGAGATTCTCTAGACGACGTCTCAAAGTGAGGAGAATCATAACTACAATGAGTCGCAACACAAAATCAGCAATGATGCAGCTTAACAGAGCCTGGCCACGTATCAGTTCCTCAAGAGCCCTTCCCGGCATCACCGCTTCCCCAAGCAGGAGACAACTCATCAGCCTCGCTGGAAAACCAGCCCAGACGGGAGAAAGGTCCCCAGAGCTGGCAAAATCAAAAGCGCCACTTTCCGTACTCCCCAATACTATCCTCCTGAGATCTTGGTTCCTCGCCGCCATCTCATCCAAGCCCTATCTCCTCCGCGCTTCGCTGGCGTGTCTGTCATGGCTCACAAGCACGTCTGGCGGCATTTTCTTCAACGTTAACAAGAATCCCGTCTTGAATTTTGTTCTGAAGAATACCTTTTACAAGCAATTTTGCGCCGGAGAGACGGCGTCCGAGGCGAGGAGCACCCTTCGACAGATGAAAGACCTTGGATTCCGGGGGACGATTCTCACCTACGCTAAAGAGACCTCTTTTGATCAAGTAACCAACAAAGTCCATCGGCAAGGGGCAACAATTGAAACAGATAGGGGCGAATGCAAATATCTCGGGCTTTGGGCCGAAGGGACACTCGAGACAGTCGATTTGCTGGGTGATGGCGATCAGCTCGCTCTCAAGTAAGCCAGGCACTCCCGCTTTGAGATTGTCGAAGACTAACCCAAAGATAGGCTGACTGGAGCTGGTCCTCTCGTCTGCGATGCGTTGACCGCAGGACGGCTTCCACCCGAAGCGATGATGGACGTGCTCCACGAGCTTTGTCGTCGGGCAAGGAGCAAAAATGCCCGCATCATCATCGACGCCGAGTCCCAGCATTACCAAAAGGGCATTTTCCTGGTGGGAATGGAGCTAGCCCACATCTACAACCGCGACGGCTGTGCACGGATTTACAATACGTATCAGGCGTATCTGAAGAGCACGGCGGCAACCCTCAACACGCACCTGAAGCAAGCCGCCGAGGAAGGGTTCACGCTCGGCCTGAAGCTCGTCCGCGGGGCCTACATGTCTTCAGACAAGAGGTCTCTGATACACGACACGAAGCAGGACACGGACAATGCGTACAACGCCATCTCGCAGGGGGCGCTCAAGTGTGAGATTGGGAGGTTCGGTGCGCCGGGCGGGCTCCCGTTCCCGTCGGTTGACCTCTTTCTTGCGAGTCACAACAGGGAGAGCCTGGTGGCTGCGCACAAGACACACCAGTCCCGCGTGCAGCTGGGCCTGCAGACTGTTCAGCTGGATTTCGCCCAGCTGCATGGCATGTCTGATGATCTCAGCTTTGATCTGGTGCAGATGGGAGCACGTGGCGACCATACACCAGGTGTATACAAGTGCTCCACATGGGGTACACTCGGGCAGTGCCTGGCTTATCTGATGAGGAGGGCAGCGGAGAACAGGGATGCGGTTTCGAGGAGCAGTGATGAGTACCGAGCTCTGAAGAAGGAGATTCGAAGACGGCTTGGGTTTAGGCGTTAGATACCTAGGTACCTGCCTTCCCTGCGTACAAAGGTACCTTGATCAAGAATACAGGCTACGAAGATGCGTCGGAATCATGTCCGACTCTGTGGCTAATCAGTGCGATAAGTCGGGAGACGAGCCGTTTATGCGCGACTCTTCGCGCGGGAAGTATTGCGTAGTGAAGTTGGGCAGACAGGACAATGCCGATATGGTGCGGGGATGCCGAGAAAAGCGCGTCACGCACCACCCCGGCTTCTGCTTCCGCCTCGGCCCCCAGCCCTCGCTTCTCCGACGGTTCAGTGTTGTCTCTACACGTTGATTCCCCAAAATATATCTATTATAACGATCTGAACTAAGAAAGACCGTCAGAGCGTCTTTCATCCAACCAGCTGCAAGTCAATCGAGATAGGAGTCGAAGACATGGATGGCTTGACGCTTTGTATGCTGGGCTGTGGTATGTTGCACACCGTGTGCTTTCGGAGACCATCCCTCCTTCTGACGTGTCCAATTCCAGGAAACCTGGGTCTCGCGATCCTGCAGAGCCTTGTTACCCCCCCTGAGACGGCATATGCCACAAAGCTGCCCATCCAGCGCTTCACCGTCTGTGTCCGCAGCACCGCAACTGAACAAAAGCTAGCAGATAAGTTCCGCACCAACGCAGACACCGTCACCGTATCTTCCGGCGGCAAGAATCTTCAAGCAATGAAGAAAGCCGACGTGATTATTCTCGCAGTCGATCCCGCCGATATAGTATCCACCCTTCAAGAGCAAGGTGTAGCTGAAGCCTTATCGTCCACTAATAACGGCCGCCCAAGGCTCCTCATCAGCGTTGCCGCAGGTTGGACTCGGCAGGACCTCGAAAAGACCATCTTTGGCACGCCAACCAACAGTTCCAATGCAAATAGCGGTCGTACATGGATTATACGGACGCTGCCCAACGTTGCCGCCCAAGTAGCCCAGTCCCTGACCGCCGTTGAGATATCGGATCCCGCCCCCCCAGACTGGGCCCTTGAGCTGTGCGACACCATATTCAATCAGATTGGCAAGACGGTTCACATTCCTCCAGCTCTCATGGACGCTACGACAGCCTTGGGTGGCTCGACCCCCGCCTTCTTTGCTGTCGTCTGCGATGCCCTCATCGACGCGGCCGTCGCTGTTGGCGTGCCCCGGCCTCTGGCCCATACTATGACTTTCCAGTCTATGCTTGGCACGGCTACGATGATGCAAGGTGGCCTTCATCCCGCCTTACTCAAGGATCAGGGGACTTCTCCGGAGGGTTGCACTATTGGAGGACTCATGGTCTTGGAAGAGGGCGCAGTTAGGGGGCATATCGGCAAGGCCTTAAGGGAGGCTGTCACGATCGCTCGGCAGATGGGCAAGAACCCTCACGTCAACGATACTCGTCAGTAGGGGAGTACTCATAGGGGGTTCAAGGGTTCTTGCTATTGATACCAAGAATATGCACCAGCGCTGCGCATGGATTCTCGTCAGGCAGCATCGTTTTGGGACTCACTGGTGCCAGCCAGCCGGGCAGGATGAATGATCTGAAGACTGTCAGGACGTAGCAGAACAGAATGCCATTACCGGCGCTGTCGTAGACATGTCTAAGCCCTTATTCGTAATTTTGGGTCAAGGTAATCAATACTGTTTCCTGGAGCGAAAATGTTTCCGTGGCTTGCATCTGCAAGAAACGAGCATGCTTCTAGACCCCGAGAGGAATGTTGACCATAAAGTCCGACAGGAAGACTATTGGTGCCCGAGATGTTTTACCTGTGAGCTCCTTTTGAAGAATATTGGTTCTAATTGCCACAACGCAGGTCGTCGCGTACGCCAACATGATTCCCGAATGCTTTGACGTGATGAAGTGCCCTGGCTTCCTCAGAGTAGCGACCCTGATCGATGTTAGGGTGCGAAGTAGAATCTGGCCGGTTGTCGCTTGCGCCATGATGGGCCCGAAACAAGGGCAGCTTGGGCATGTTGCTTTGATATGAGGCTTCTTGGTAGCTTGTCCATGACTGTAAGTATCGGAGATATCAGCGCCGCGGATAGCCCACTGCCGGATGCGACGTCAGCCGCGAGTAGTCTAGTAAGATGGGTTGGCGAACTCCTACTTCTTCCCTCCACCCGAAGATTCAGTGATCACGGTGGTGAGGGGCAGGACATGATCCAGTCGGGTCAGCCGCCGTCATGCGGAACCCCATCTCCGATACCCCTTCACCGGCCGGGTCAGCATCCGACAGCGCCCCGCCCGAATAAACTCCGCAGAGGGGCCGTGAGCTACCCTAATTTCTAGTATCATGGCTCCAGGGTCAATCGAATGTCAGCTTTGCTCTACAAGATCTCGAGCTTCGGCCTTTGGTTTGTCTGATTTCAAGAATACACTTCTTCTGTTCGTGTTTGTTTTGGTCCGCCAATGCACTCGTTGGTTTTCAACCGCAACTGAATAATTCATCCCTGGTACCTAGCAAAAGTAATTGCCGTCAACATGCTCACAACGAAAAACCTGATCCGTTCCGGCACGACCAGACCTGTTTCCTTCAAGATTTCGCCTTCGACAACCGCTTTGGCTGCGCAGAAAAGAACAAATGTCACATTGCCTTTCACTCTTCCTGCTGCCAGAAATGAGGCCAATGTGTGTTCCCCTTCCCGCCATGTAGCTAATCTGATTACTACTGACACTATGTACGTAAGCCAACATATGTCAAAGGCTCTCCTGAGCGAGTTAGGGTAGAAAAAGCCCTCAAAAAGCTCCGGTCAGAGCTCCCGGTGAAGAGCGGAATCTTCTACGATGGCAGAAGCCAGAAGATCTCTAGCTCCGACGACCAGGTGATGCCGTCGGAGCACCAGAAGATCTTCACAAACTACCCGCTCGCGACGAGGGACCAAATCTCAGCAGCAATCGAGGCGGCCCTCGGCGCGAAGAAAGAATGGGAGGAGACTCCATTTGTCGACAAGGCGGCCATCTTCCAGAGGGCAGCCGAGCTGGCGACGGGTAAGTACCGCTATGAGCTCATTGCGGCCACGATGTTGGGCCAGGGCAAAAATGTCTGGCAGGGCGAAATCGACGCGGCTGCCGAGCTTGCTGACTTTTTCCGCCTAAACTGTCACTATGCGGCTGAGCTTCATGCGCGGCAGCCCACACGTGGCTCCGACGGTATTTGGAGGTAAGCAATAATCTCGATCATCCTTGTACTTTGTAAATACCGTGCTTAAACAAAGCACAGTCGCCTCGACTACCGCCCTCTCGAAGGCTTCGTCTACGCTGTGTCGCCCTTCAACTTCACCGCCCTCGGAGGAAGCCTGGTGTCTGGTCCAGCACTGATGGGCAACGTCGTGCTCTGGAAGCCCTCACAGTACAGCATCTATGCCAGCCAGATCGTTTACAACATTCTCTTAGAGGCCGGTTTGCCGCCCAACGTCGTCCAATTTGTTCCAGGTGACGCCGAGACAGTCACCGACGTTGCGCTCAGCCACCATGACTTTGCTGGCCTCAACTTCATTGGGTCTTCGGACATCTTCCGGTCTTTGTACGGCAGAATCGGCGAAGGTATCGCGAAGAAGACATATCGCGAGTTCCCCAGAGTGGTCGGTGAGACTAGCGGCAAGAACTTCCACCTCGTCCACAACACCGCCGACATTCCCAGCGTCGTAAACCACACCATCCGTGGCGCTTTCGAGTACCAAGGCCAGAAATGCTCGGCCACATCCCGAGCTTACGTCCCTGAGTCTCGTGCAGAAGAGTTCATTTCCCTTCTGAAAGCCGGCGTCAAGGGCGTCACGATGGGCAGCCCAGATGGCGACATGGGCGCCTTCATGGGTCCCGTGGTTCACCGTCGATCATTCGACAAGATAAAGTCCATCATTGACGCTGCAAACAAAGATTCTTCTTTGAAGCTGCTTGCTGGTGGGACCTACGACGACTCGGTTGGTTTCTACATCAGCCCAACGGTCTACCAAGCCGACTCGCCCGACCATAAGTTGTTCAACGAAGAGATCTTCGGGCCCGTCTTGACCATCCACGTGTACAAGGACGCAGATTGGACCAACGTCTTGAAGAGCGTCGACCAGAACGGCGGTGGATTAGCTCTCACCGGCGCCGTCTTCGCCACGGACCGTCGTGCCATTCGAGAGGCCGAAGATGCCCTCCGGTACTCGGCTGGCAACTTTTACATCAGTAAGTCAAACTCGCAGCTAGTTCCCTCTTGCCTAAGAGCAATGCTGACAATGACTGAATAGACTGCAAGACCACGGCTGCTCTCATCGGCCAGCAGTCGTTCGGCGGTGCTCGTGCCAGTGGCACCAATGATAAGGCAGGTAGTTCCGACATTCTGCGCCGCTTCACCAGCCCGAGGATGATCAAGGAGGAGTTTTTCCCTCTGGAGGAGTTCAAGTACCCCAGCAACGATTGAGGGGAGTAGTAGCTGGTGTTTACGATTAGTTAGAGCTATGCATATCATTCTGGAAAGGTATTTCGGTTTTTTTGTCAGATATTGAGCATTTCTTGGTTGGAAAATCACATCACTTAATTATTAACGCACAATGATGCGTTTCGGCGTGACGTTTTTTTTTTGTCAATGAAATATTTTGAGCTTCGAAGCTGGTGCGGCCATGTTGATTCTGTCAACGATAAGCTTTTAATTGTATCGAATGATGTTCAAAGTCATGATTCTGTATCTACACTGGTGTCTACAGCATCGTCATGTTTTTGAAGACTCTAGCCATACATGTTTCGTAAATGGCGTTACCCTCAACACATCAAGAGCCGCTTGCACGGCCCCAACCTGCCAGTTTCCTTATTCGTAGCCAAATGTCAGACAACCAATACCCTTGGCTGACGGAGGAGACGAAAGTCCGGGACTATCAGCGGAATCACC